ATAATTACCTAGAAAACCGTCGGGGACGCCACGAGTGCTGAATGGGCGAAGCGTCCCCCAAGCGAAGTCTTGAAAAGAAATTACAATTGATGGGCAGAAAAATGCGTAAATAATGGGAGAAGATGGTAAACTGAAAGTCTTTTGACTTCGAGTCTTCGAGTCTTTTGTGCAACGGAGGTGAAGAAATATAAAATCCGGGAGGAACAGGAAGAAAAAATGAGAGGCGAAAGGGAATACTACAAATATTATATTTCATTAATTATTAATCAGCAATGCCGATGAATAAATTTATCCTCTTCTGAAATAATTTAATTGAAGGAAAACAAATTTGCCCGTTCCTGAAAGGAATTTGGATTAGTGGTGTTGAAAATACTTAGTGTTACCGTGAGACGGGATGGTACGAGAGTTGTGTAATCTCATCTCGTCTTGAATGACGAAAGACTCATCAGTGTTTTGTTTGGATAAATTCTCGTCTCGAAATAACAAGTCTCCGTGTGATCAGGGTAAGAAGCCTGGGTAAATAATCAGAATTGAGCAAATTGAATTGATAGAAAAATTTTGAGGTCTGGCTACACGGAATAGTTGTTTTCATCACAAGGTCCACAAAGTATTTTCTGACGAATGTGATTATAGGCCTCGCCTTCGGCTCGGCCTACAAAGCCACATTCGTCAGAAAATACTTTTGGACCGTGTGATGAATGCAATTTTTCGTCAGAAGGCCCGTAAACCGCGATCTAACCGGCGAGCGAAGCGAGGTTAGAATCGCGGTTTACCGGGCCTTCTCACGAAAATATACATATTTCAATTTTACTAATTGACTTACACTGTTAGAATATTACTCTTGAAATTTTTAACAACAACAAAGTTACATGAAATTTCTGTAGATTTCTTCATTGACGAATTAATTAATTGCTCTAATATTAAAGGAATTCTCGATTGTCAAGTCCATACGGCACTGAAAAACCTTCAAAGTTTTGAAAATTCAGGCAATAACTTCTCTGAATTTTCAATCTAATGAAAATTAAACTGTATGTGATGTTCAATTTTTATAATAAGTTTGCACATTCAAGCTTTCATTGAAAAATCAATGAGTGTTTACCATGAAAAACCCTATTTCTTTGAATTGTTAAGGTGAATGAGAAATTTAGTGAACGTTTTCATTTGAAATTGCATTCAAACGCGCAACATTGAAAATTCAGATGACGCTGTGACTGAAATTTCAAGAAATTTCTAACAGTGCATATTTTTTTGCCGTGTTAGTTACAGTCAAGTTAGTAAGGTGCATGCCTCGTGAGGGTCGAACATCACGAGACACTTTTGACCCATGTGAAATTCACCTCATGACAGTTAATTCTTGCGAGACATGAGCCTCGCAAGGTATTGCACCATTTATGTAAAATAGCCCGAAAAATGTTTCTGACAGAATCAAGAATATATTTAAAATAATTTAAGGATAATTTTTCTGCCTATTTTACATGAATGGGGCAAATTTTTATATTAAACAAAAGGAAATTAGCTGTGTAGGAGTGGAATTTCAAAGAATTGATTCGTAATTGTTATTCTACACATAAAAAAATACAAAAACAAAAACATCCACACAAAAATTTTGAAAGAAGACCTCAGTAGCTTAAAAATTAGTGGCCCTGGACTATTTTTAACATTTTAAGCGTGAGAGAAGCAAACAAACAATAAACAATGAATTATTTTGCACTAATTATTGGCCTCTAGAAACATATAATCGATCTTCAATGCAGGAGGAATCGCATTCCAATCGCCCACGACTTTTAAAACGGATCGTACTCTCCCCTTAAAAAAACTTTTTAGCGAGCTATTTGGAAAAACCCTCTCCTGTGATTCAATTAAAGTTTATTTAATTCCAATAAATCCTTTTACACGTCTGGCAGTCAATATTAGAAATATAGAGTCGTCATGTCTCCCTGTACGGCAGGTCTAAATTAGGATATGGTGGCTGTTCTACATTTCTCATGAATAACTGATATTTAATTTTCAAATAGTTCGATCTTGATTTAAGACCGACTATTTTACAATGATCCATTTATATATTTTTATTTATATCTTTGGTGTTACAAATGTTTTTCTTTGTTTTACACCTACGTATTCCTCCTCTCCTTAATATCTATTAACATCAGTTATATCAAATTATATAAAATTTTCTCTGTTCATTTTTCTATTATCCTTTATCCTAATTCTGCTTTATATTAGCTAATATTTAGTATCACTGTTCGCCCTCACTTATTTATCGCTTTTCTCATTTTTTACACTGTCCCCCCTTTTTCCTATACTGTTGTCTTCTCAGCTACTCCTAGCCCTCCTTGTCCTCTCTTTGGTTTCTTCCTCTGCTTCCTTCAGCGCCTTCTCGATCCTTGCTAATCTCTCGCACCCTTTCTTTCCAGGTTTCTCTCTTAACTCCATCAGAAACCTCTCCCTCCAGTTGATTCTGCCATACTTCCTCCTCCATTTTCTCCACCAGCTCCTATCCTCCTCTCTTAGTCTCCTCATTAATTCCTTGCAGCTTATCACATGTTCCAGTCTTTCTGCCTTTTTTCCGCATGCCCTGCATTTATCGTTTTCAAAGCCGCTCTTTCCTCCCCTCAGCACGTTTCCGCATCTCCACCTTGCCCATGACACCTTCTGCTCTATCCCTAGCCTCCTATCCCCCCAATACTCGCTCATCGTTGTGTCCTCCTTCAACTCTCTATAGTAGTCGCAGTATCTCGACCTTTCAATCCTTTCCCAATCCTCCTGTTTTTCCTGGTCCTCTAAGGTTTTCAGCAGTTCCAGGAGTCTTTCCTCCGCCTCTGCCTCTCTCCCTTCCCACAGCAGTTCCAGAAATACCCCGTCTCCTAGCGATCTCAGCTTCCTCTGCACTTCCTTTCCCCAGTTCGTAGCCTGTCCATTTTTTATTCCTCTCAGTTCCTCCCTCAAGCACTTCCTTGCCCATCTACTCTCGTCCATCTTGCTCAGTTTGATCAAGAACCCTGCCGCTCTCCTCACTGCCTCCACTTCCACACTGCAAGTTCCTGCCTCCATTCTCCAAATATAGTCCGGTGTGTTTCTTGCCAACCCCATGCTAGCCTTTATGTACTTCTTCTGCACCCTCTCTACATTCTCCTGCCTTTTCCACCCCCATAGCTCTACTCCGTATAGTGCCGCAGCCTTCACCGTCACCCCCATGAAGTGTAGCCTCCTCCTCAGGTTCTTCAGCTTTGCCCTCGTCATTTCCCCCCAAGTTTTATTCACCATCGATTGTGCTTTCCCTGCCAATTTCCTCGTGTGTTTTGCATACGAGTTTCCCGTTGTGAACCAGTAGCCCAGGTACTTAAATTCTCCTACTACTTCCAGCTTTTCTCCTTTGTATCTCCATTCTTCTCGTTTCCTCTTTCCTCCCTTCCGGAATATCATTATTTTGGTTTTTTCTACGCTCACCACCATTAGATTCCTATCTGCCCATTTCTCCAATGTCTTCAGCATCTTTTGTAGATCCGACGCCTCTTCTGCAACTATTGCTGCGTCATCTGCATACATTAGTGCAAATATTTTGACCTTCCCTCCTTGGCTAATCGGTGTGCCCCCCTCGCCCCTTCTTTCTAGGTCCTCCACCATATCCTGTATAAAGATGTTAAACAGGATAGGACTCAGCGGACAACCTTGCCTCACTCCCTTCCTCGTTTTAAATTCCTCCGTCAACTCTTCTCCTGCGATTACCCTATTCCTAGTGTCTTCGTATATTTTCCTCGTCATCTTCAAGAACCTTCCCCTTATTCCCAGCCTCTTCATTTTTTCCCACAGTCTGTTCCTGTCCACCTTGTCAAAAGCCGCCTTAAAATCTATGAACGCCACATACAATTTCCCTCCCTTTTTCTTCAGCCTGTTCCCAATTAGTGTGTTTAAAACAAATACCTGCTCCATCGTCCCTCTTTCTCTCCTAAATCCTGCCTGCGCCTCCGATAGCTTTTCCTCTTCCTCTAACCAGTTTCCCAACCTCCCAGCCATTATTGATGCTAGTATTTTGTAGCCGATGTCCAAAAGCGATACCCCTCTGTAGTTTGCCGCAACGTTCACATCCCCTCTCTTGTGGATTGGGAAAATCGTGGCCAAGTTCCACCTATGGATTATTTCCCCCTGTTCCCATAGTTCCTTAATTATTTCGTTCAGCTCATCCATCCCCTCTTCTGGTAAGTTTTTCCAGAATTCTGCAGTTACTCCATCCTCTCCTGCTGCCTTCCCCCTCTTTAATTTAGCTACTGCCCTCAAAATCTCCCAATCCGTAACATCTCCATCCAGTTTGGCATCTTCTATTTGTTGCTCAAGTCCCCTTCCCTGATCTTCTTCCGCGCTTCCATCTGTTTCCTCAACTAACTCCCTCTCCGTCCGGCTCTCATCCTCTGCTTCTAGAAGTTCCTTGAATTGCCTCAGCCACTCTTCCTTCTTCACATTGTTGCTCACTCTCTTCTTCCCTTGCCTAAACCAGTTCATCGCCTTCCACCAGTCTGCCATTGTCCTCCCCTGTGCTACTTTCCTCTGCTTTTCCTGTATCCATTCCATCACAAGCCTTGACCTCAGTTTTCTAAGCTTTTTCTTCGACTGGTTGTATTTCCTTTTAGTTTCCCAATCCCTTTTTTTCCTGAATTTCTTTAAGCTTTTAAACATTACCCGTCTTTCTTTCTCATATTGCCCATTATCCCAGGCTGCCAGGTCTCTTCGTCCGCCGCTCACCGTCATCTTCACCTCCTGTGCTGTTTCCATCGTTACCTCTCCCATCTCTCCCCTACGTTCTGTCCCCTCTCGCCTCCTGATTCTGTCCACCTTTTGCTCCAATTCTTCTTGAAGTCCTCCGCCCTCTCTTCCTTCCATCTCAGTCGTTTTTGTTGAGTCTCTCTTTTTTCGGCCTTTACTCTCTCCTCCTCGTTCCATTCCACCCTGAATATGATCGGTAGATGGTCTGATCCCTCCTGTTCCCTCACCTTCATGTCCATAAACTAGCTCGGTGCTTCGTTTCCTTCCATCTTGACCAGCACGTAATCCAAGACACTCCCCAGTCCCGCTCCTTCCCCTGCAAACGTTATTTTCCCCTCCTCGTCCCCCCTGGCCCTTCCATTTTGAACTAAGAGTGCCCTCTCCTCACACCATTCCATTAGCTTCTTCCCTTCTCCTCTTATCGTCTTGTCTTGTGATTTCCTTTCTGTTATCCTTATCTCTTCTTTCCATCCGCAATCTGCTACTCCCTGTAGCTCTCCTGATCTTGCATTTAAGTCGCCTACGATAATCAGTCTCTCCTCTGACCCCTCCGAGTCCTCCACCAGTTCGTCCATCTTCCCCAGTGCTCTTTTTAAGTTTTTCCTGACGTTGTTGTAGATGGTTATTACCCTGTAACTCTCTCTGCTTTCTCTTTCTTGGATCCTCAGTTTCATTCCATATTCCCATTCCTCTACTATCCAGTCTGCTTTCAATGTCTTCCTTATGCCTACTAGATGTCCCCCGCTAGCCTTTCCCCTTTTATGAATTCTCTTGGCTTCTTTCCCGAACCATTCGAATTTTGAGTTCAACTTCTCCCGCATTCTCTTCATACCTTTCGCCTCCAAATGTGTTTCCTGGAACAAAACGACGTCCGTTGTTTCCCAACGTTTCTCATTCTTACCTATGTTTGCCGCGTTTTCCACGTTCCAGTGCCATATCCTTAGCAGCCTGTTCTCCTCGTCCTCTCCTTCTCCTGCCGTTGACTTAAAAGGGCGTTCTCCTTCCCTTCCTTGCCGTGCTCCCTTTCTGTCTCAGTTCCCCCTTCTCCTCATCCCACTCTAGTCCCGCTCCGTCCACCATTAGCGAGTTGTATGCTGTCTCTACTTGTATGCCTCTTCTTCTCCAATTGCGCGCCTCCTTCTCCCGCCAGGCCTGCACCACTCTTTGCCTTTCTGTCAAGTCGTCCTCAATGTATACCCCCCAGCCCATTTCTCCCAGTCTTGTCTTTTCTTTCATCACCATTATTTTCTGATCCAAGTCTTCCGCTCTGATCAGCCATCCTCCTTTCTGCCTTCTTTCTAGCCCTTCCACTTTCACTTCTACTCTCAGAGTCTTTTGGAACCAGCGCTCCAGTTCCTCCTTTTTTGATCTGGAGATTAGAGTTAGCCCCTTTACCACCATATTTTTCCTTCTTCCTCTTCTTTCCATTCTTTCTCTCTCCCATTCCTCGCTGAACAGGCCTCTCGGTGGCGGGTTCCGTGCATCCTCCATTTGTTGCTCTGGCTCACTGTTCCATTGCCCTCAATCCTCGGCATTACCTCTTTTCCCGCCTTCACTGTTTCTGTTTCCTTTTCCTCCGCTACTTACACTCTCGCTGCCACTACTGCTTTCCCTTCTTGTTCCTGTCTTCTCTCTCCATCTAGGGGGTTCCTCCATCTTTTCCTGGGTCTCTTGTGGTCCTTTCCCTTCCCCCCACCCCTCAGTTCCGCTATCTGTCGACTTTCTACCGCTTGTGTTTATCTCTGGGCTTTGTGTGGTCTCCTGTCTGCCTTCTTGAATTCTCTCTTCGTTGCTTCTTTTCCTTGTCTTTTTTTGCTCCTCATTATCCTTTTTTCTCGTCTCAAACTCAGCCCTGTCTTTTTCCTTTCCCACCTGCTCAACTCTTTCGTGATTACTTTCTCCCCAATCTTTCCACCACGTTTGCCTGAAATTCCCCTGCCTTGGTCCTGACTCCTCTGTTCTCCTCTCCCTCCGTCTCTCGCAGTCTTCACATCTCCATCCCTCTCCACCCGGTTCCCTTCCCTCTGTGTTCCTCGTTCCCGTTTCTGCCACTAGTTCTTTCCTGAGTACATACCTCAAATCCGTGCTGAGGACTCTCTTTAGCTCCGTTCTCATTAACCCTTCCAGATCTGACATCCTTGCTTCCCATTCCTCCTTCTGTTTTTCCTCCCATTTTTTTAACCAGCTCTTCATGCTTTCCTGAGTCCACACTTCCTCGTTCGTATCTGCTTCTGACACCCTTTCCTCTGTGGTCTCGTATTCACTGCCTTCCCCTGCTTCTCCACTGCCTTCCCTTGCTTCTCTTCCTTTACTCATGATCCATTTATATATATTACATTTTATTCAAAATGTCACTTTAAATTTGGCGAATTCGCCCGGGTTGCTATTGATAAATTTAAACCCCTTTTAGACATCACATATATGTTGTCATGGGTGCTGACATGTATGTACAGATAATGTATGCGTTTCGAAGGAAGGTGGGGGATGGGGACATCCGCCACCTCCCTTCGAAACGCATGATAATTTTAAAATTTACATAATTAAGATATTTCAAATCAAATTCAAAAGCGTAAGGTACGACATTTACATACAGAAAAAATGTTTCACTGAGCGTAATTTACGGTTTGCTAAACGTAATTTAGGTTTAACGCCAAGATGATGTCTGGTGCTTTTTTATCCATCATGAAAATCACAATGGAGGCTTCAAAATTACGTATTTTACGATCAAAATAAAAACGTAAATTTCGCCCAAATAAGCGTCTTACGTTTTTTTATTACTTTTTCCGGAATATTTTTTTATATTATTTATTTCAATTCATTACATTTTTTATCGTAAACTTAAATTTGTAAATTACAATTCTTTAAATATTTACATGTTTTTCATGTTTTTTCTACGTATTTTGTGGCCGTGAGCAGTTGGTTTTTTCCAATTTATTTAGTAATTCTGATGGTATTTGGTGAATTTCAGCAAATAATTAATTAATTTCGAATTCGTAATAATGAAATTACGAGAAATTTTGATGAGAAAAAAAATTCTAAGGAGTTAATGGGAACTTTTGATCCATCAAAAAAATTGACGAAAACGTAGAGAAAATTTAACACATGGTTGTCAAATGAAATTGAAACATCTTTTCTGAATTTCAATTAATTAGTTGTTAAAATTCAATAACTAGTTGATGAATTGCAACAACTAATTGGTGAATTTCTACAACTAGTTGGTGACATTGACCAAATAATTTTCTCCGCGTTCATCTCCAGAATAGTTGAACTGAAATTCTATTATAGTTTCCTTGAAATTGCAGCGGAAATGTTATTTGTCCGAAATTTCCCTGACTCTTACCGGAAATTTCAGTGAAAAATTTTCAACAGTGCATATCTTCGTATGAGTTATTATCATATATTTTTCTCCGTATCTGAATATTATTATATCAAGAATTATTTTTGCAACTGCGAAATAAATTACTTCAGATTTATGCATAAAATTTTCCCATATTATTTGACAGAAATGGATCCCAGTAGAATATAATCCATTCGGGGTTGAAAATTTTTTGGAAAATTTTTCTCCCCCTCCGGTGATTCATAGCAACTTATCAAGGGGAAGTATCAATGATGAACGGCGTTCTTCCGGTTTCCCTTGGACCTCCTCCTGATTTGGCAAAACGCCCGTCCGCTCGTCCACAACCGACACTGCTCCACTCTCCGCCCTATCGGAACATATGTCGGCATTTCTCCATCTACCCGAGCATGTCGTTAAATAATCCCGCGTACTTGAAACCGAGATCACGTTGTGCACAGGGTTCTAAACAATGGAACTATACGCGAAGTGTAATAAAGCCAAGGCTTGTGGCTTTGATTGGTAGAACAACTCTTGAAAAGTTGCAACATAACATTCTTCACTTCGATCGTCTAGTCGCTGGAGTATTCGTTTCTGGGGTTTACGAGCTTGCCGAACGTAAACTAGTGACTCCTGGTGTATTTACGGCAAATGCGGGGAATCGGAACCATCGATTTTGCCTAGAATGACCCGGAAGTCCTCGCAGATGTTTTCAAATACTTCAGTCCCTGTTCCGCTCGGATGTTCCTGGGTTTTTCTTATTGCTCGCAATATACTTGTTAGGCGGGAATTGATATCGTCGCCGGATAGCCAAAGGGGCGTAGGTGTCCAAAGGCCCTTTTTCGAGGACAGAAAGGCCCGTTTCAATGGTTTTTCGACCTTCTATAGAATTCACTACGAACAAAAATGTCGGAAAAGTGGTGGCTATACCGCTCATCTAAGGAATAACGATAATTTTCGCATCCCAAACCATAATTTTGAATAAAATTACAGTCGGATAACATTATTTGGCTACACCAAAAAAAAATTACCTCTCAGCAGTACCGACCGGTACTTGGAGGAAATTCACTTTTGAAAAGTGCTAAAAATACTGGTCCCAAGTACATTTTATGTCCTTGGGTGAAGTAGCTTTACTTCACTACTTTCTGCCAGTACTTTTACTACTTTTCACAAGTACCAAAGGTACAAGTGAAAAGTAATTTTTCAACTTCTCTCAAGTACTTTAGGACTTAATTTCAGTACTTCCAATTGATTACTTTAGTGAGAAAAGTGAATATTATTACCGGATAGAATGGGCTTTTTTACGCATTTTTGTAAATAGAAATGTTCAGCAGAAGATGTTTTGTAGGAAAAAATCAACAGATTGCGATTTTTATGGATGCTTTCGAGAGTTATTGCTGTTTTCCAACCTGCAAAATTTCAATTTTGTTGAGGTTTTTATGTTTTATGTTGTTATTAACGTTTAAAAGACTGCGAAAAATTGTTTTCAATTTTATTACTCACAAAAAGGGAATTATTTGGATTTTTGAATTTTTTGACGAACTTCGGTTTGTAGAAGAGGTAGAAAAACATTTTTGAATTATTATACTCAACTCATATTGAGTTTATGTGGTACTTAAAAAAAAACAGCCAGGTACTCAGTACAAGTACAATTTCTTTACTTGGCCAAGTAACAAAAGTACTTGTGACAAGTACTGAGGTAGTTCTCACCAGTACACAGGTATTTGACGCATGATATTAGCATCAAGTTGTTTTGTAACTTCGAGGAAGTACAAAAATGTACCTTTTCCGCAGAAACCCGTTGGTACTAGATACAAGTACTTTTTCTAGTGATCAAAAGTAATATTAGTTTTTGTGTACTCAGCTAGATATTTACAAGTTTTGGATCCTCAATTTTTGTGTCAATTTCGATAAATTTTCAAAGATTGCCCCACTATGCTCATAAAGTCAGTAGCTAAACGTGGAGGATGCAATTATCCATCAATTGCTCCCCACTTGAGTTATTACGGTTCCAATACCTGGATAACCCGTTCTCCTACACTGTTAACAATTTTTTTTTATTTCATGTAAGATATTATAGTAAATCTCCTGAGAGTGACATTGAATCAGATTTAGGGAAAAAATGGTTACGAGTTTTCAAATTTTAATTAGAAACCACGGAAATTCATGAGTTTTCAGTGGGAGTGAGATGGACATTTCGCAACTTGATTAAATTTTCAGTGGCACATGGATATTCAGAAACAAAATGACATGAATTGTCAATTTTTCCCTGAATTTTCCTGAGTTTTCTGAATTTTTACAGAATAATTGAACTGAAAAATCAAGTATTTTTTTATTTCCAGATCATTTGAATAGAAAATCAATGGAATATTTTATTTTTCCATGACAAGATTTCCTGAAATTTCAGTGGATCTTGAACACGATAAAAATCTCCGGAATTCGGGGCGGAAAACTCAGACGAAAATTGGGATTGCGGATCTAGAGGAAATGTTTCATTTCCTCTAGATCCGCAATCCTTTGCAGAATAGGTTACATATTTATTTAAATTAATCAACTCTGAATTACATTACTGTAAACTGAGTAAATAACCCTCAAAATTTGACATTTTTGAGGGTTGAATGTAATTTTTATTGCTCAATTACTGAATTTATTGAGAATTATTCCGTGTGTCAATCACAAAAAACTTTCTGCCTATTCATAAATCTCGATTCCTTCATTTTCTGACTTGTATTTCAGTTCGATTGGTGCACGCGTTTTTTTTTTTTAATTTTGAATTTAGCGTTTTTCACTGATTTTGGGTACTCACATTTTTTTCTTTAAAACTAGAAAAGGCCTCGAGGAATTCTGTTAACGCATTCAGAATCAGCGGAATTCAATCTTTCTAATGGGCGTAATTTCATTTCTAGGAGAGCCAGGGTCGAAATTTTGTCGGACTGACATGATCAAAATTAATTAGTGAAAAATATTGAAAAAAGTTCGTAAATTTAATTTTATCCTTTATTATTTTTCAACTTGGTTAAATGTGAGATTTTCTTACGTAAAATAATTTTGAATCATTCTAAATGTTAATAATTGTCAATGGAGTTTATTCACGACTATACGTAGCATAATCACTCCAAACTCCAACATAATTGCAAGATTAAGAGATGGACTTAGACCACCTGGGAATGACTGACAGAGAAATAAGCTCCTAAAAAATAAATTCTTCTCTCAAGAAAATAATTCCTTCGCTAAGGTAATTTTTTTTCCAGTGCATAATGATGAAAGAAATGAATATGTCATGAATTAGTTTCCCCAAACGAAGTAGAGCTCGCCTAGTTAATATAGGTCATTGAAACTCCACGTAAAGATGAATTCATGAAAAATTTAAACATAAGTAAATTGGGATTAAATGGACGTTCACGTTCACCCTCCAAGGGCATGTGTAAAAAGTTTAACCCCTAAAGTACGGCCCTCATGCCACAGATGGACCCGAGAGCTTGTTTTATCGGCCGTGGTCTATTGTTCGTGGTCTATTGTTCTATGGCCGGTGTCCATATGTCAAGTTGGACCCTTTCCGTGATTAATAAAAATTCATCATCTTTCGTACTATTGTAGACGTCGATATTCTGAGAACTTCCCCATGAAATAGATAAAATTGTCAATACAATGCGACTCGATTTTTATCTGTTCAAGTTATTTTTAATATTTTTCTTCAATACGTAAACATTACGGAACTGAATTCAATGTTCGATATATATTTAAACCTCTCGTTTTTCGAGGAAATTTTTATCAAAAATTCTGGAATTTTTACCGAACATACTCTATACAGTTCTCTGAAAATTATGAGAATAGCATCATTGCTTATCAAGTTACACAATATTATGAGTTTTTTATATCACAATCCCTATCTCTATTAAACTCAGGTACCAGTCTATTATTTTGAATACTCTGTGACGTCACTAACCCACGTGAACCTCAAAACTTAAAATATAAACCGTAG